GATGTGGAGAAAAAGGAACTCTCCTGCACTGCTGGTGGGAATGCAAACTAGTACAACCACTATGGAAAACTGTTTGGAGGTTTCTCAAAAGACTGAAAAATGAAGCTTCCAAATGACCCAGCAATCCCAATTCTAGGTATTTCCCCAAAAGACACAAAACACTGATTCAAAAAGACAACTGCACTCCCATGTTTATTGCTGCTTTATTTACAACTGGAAAGACATGGAAACAACCCAAATGCTCAAAAGTAGATGACTGGATTAAAAAGATGTGGTATATATATACACAATGGAATATTACTCAGCAACCAAAAAAAAAATAAAATAAACTCATGTCTTTTGCAGCAACATGGATGGAGCTGGAAAAGATCATGCTTAGTGAAAATAAGCCAGAAAGAAAAGGAAAAATACCAGATGGTTTCACTCATAGCAAGAGTATAAAGGATGAGGCAAGACAATAATAATAATAATGAACAACTATGTACAGAGACATTTTATGAGGGTGGAATGGGGAACGGGATAACAAACGGTGGGGGAAGGGAAGTGCAGTGGACTATGGTGATGGCACATGGGTGATTTGGTGATGGGCAGCCCATGGGGATTACAACTGCAATGGAAAAAGGCACAAAATGACGTAAAAATAAACTATTATATTATTTTAAAAAACACACATATGTTTGTTTTATGCTTTCAGTTTTAGATCTCTCCCTTTCCACCTTTTATTGACATAATTTATTTCTTAAATCTACAGAACACTAGCATTTCTTCAAAAGTCAAACTTACACAAAAAGGGAAGAAGAGTCATTTTCTTTCATATCCCTTCTGCTCCTCCTTGTATATTTTGCTCTCTCACCATTCTTTATAGGTATTAATTCCCCCCCAACTTATCATTCCTGTGTTTCTTTTTATAAAGTTAAGCAGATTTATGCATGTTTTCTTATTTTCCTTTCTTCCTTATACATAAGGAAACCTTTTAAACCTTAAGGCCTACTTTTGGTAATAATTTTATAGTCCTTTTAGGGAAAGAATGCATTGACTTGCTGATTAGCAATGATCTTACATACAGTTCTACATTGACTTGTTGATTAGCAATGGTCTTACACACAGTTCCCTCTTAAAAAGGCATTGCTCAGCCCAGGAGGCAACAGAGATAAACTAAACCAGAGATAAGGTGACTTGAAATAAAGAACTCCAGGAAACCCCCTCTGGCAGTTGAGACATCCTGCCCTCTCCTAGCCAAAAATTCCAACAGCAGCCTAACTCTACAAAGACCCATTTTCCCCAATCTCAGTGCAGGACTCTCACTCTGCTAGAGCCTAGAGTCACCCCGGAGGACTAAATAGTCAACTTCAGTCGGATACTCTTAGCCTCCTTTTTT